TTTTAAAAATATAAATATTCTAGTTATTAAATAAATGCAAGTTAAATACCTTGATTTAAAGAAAGTTTGTAGGGTTAAAAATGATTAAAATTAAAAAAAAAACCTTCAGCGATAAATAAGATTTAACATTTAGTGGTGAATATGCTTTAAAACATTTATTTCCAATTATAAGAAGAAGGGGCTGAGAGAGGAAAGAAAAAGAAAGAGAGAAAATGCTTATTTGAAGGAAAAAAAAAAAAAAAAAAAAAAAACTGTGAAGATACTCGTTTACAACTTTTTATGATCCCCACTTTTTTAACAATACACATATGTACTATTAACAATTAATTAAAATTTGCATCACTTTACGAAACTTATCTTGATGAAATTTTTTTACAGTTAAAATTTAATAATATACAAACTCATTTCCTCGGCATATAATCATAAATTATATAAAATGGTTCCAGTAGGTAGGAAATGGTTTAAAAAATTTCTTAATGGTTATTCTGTAATTTGCAAAATTTTTAAATATTGTGAAAATTTTATCTACTTGATCAAGTGATAACTTTTTCGAGTCATTAAATGAAAATTTAATGTCTGCTCTGTAATTTTGAGCAGGCCGAATTCATTCTGGAAAACTATCTTTCGAAAAAAGCTGTTGTTATGGGGCAGTATTAAACTTAGGGCGAATAACTTAATCAGTTTTGGAGTCGGTCCCAGATGGTGTTCTTCCTTTCCTGATTTTTAAATCGCGTGAATACTAAACGCGATGTGTTATTTTTATATTGCTTGAATATGAATAGCTATGCGTGATTTTTAAATTGCGTAAATAAAAAAATGCGATCCTGGTTTTTCAAATCGCGTGAATACCAATCGAGATATGTGGTTTTTAAATAGCGAGAAGACTCACAACGTATGATTTTAAAAACGCGTGAATATGAATCGCGGTAAGTGGTTTTAAATCGCGTAAATATGAATCGCGGTGAATGATTGAATTGCGAACGCATTATTTTTTAAACGCTAGAACACGAATCGCGATATGCTATTTTAAATTTCGTGAATACGAATCGCGATGTATGATTTTTAAATCTCGTTAATGTTAATATGAAATGCAATGCGCAATGCATCGCGTAAATACAAAATGTGACTTTTAAATTGCAAGAAGAATCAAAACGCATGATTTTTAAAACGCGTAAGGGGCCGTTCAAAAAGTACGTACACAAAAATGGAGAAATTTTAAACCCCTCCCCCTTTCGTACATAAGGTCTTACTCCCCCCCCCCTTAGAGTACGTACATTTTATTAGTCTACCCCCCCTTTTTCATAAAAATTAAAATAATTATGTTTTAAATAAAATTAAATATTTACTTAAGGAGGGTGTAGGATAAAGTCAAATTTAAATTTGGTGTATGTTTATAAAGTACGTACTTTGTATAATACCTCCCCATCGTACAAAACCGTACATAATATCAAATCCCCTCCCCCCCACTTCGGGATGTACGTACTTTTTGAACGGCCCCTAAATACGAATAGTGATATGTGATTTTAAAATAATATGACGAAAAAAAAAAAAATAGGTTGAGTGTGGGTTGTTTAACTTGCGCGTGTTCATGGAACTAAAGAAATATGCACGTGTTTTGAATTATTTTTTTGCAAAGGGACCGCGTTTAATATAAATTTACACATCTCATTTTTTTATTCTCTTCGTGAAGGTGACAATTTTGCTAAGATACGTAGTTACTTTAGAAGTTACAAAAAAAAAAAAAAAAAGTTGAACAGCATCGAATTTTACGAGTGTTAAAATATCAGGATATTCTAAATTACAAGTAAAAATGTAGCAATAACGGGAAAGAAAAAAAAAACACGTTCGAAAATCCTCGTATATTTATGTTAAAATCGGCACAAATAGAGCACGTAATAAGTAATTATTTTAATGCCCAAAAGAGCAGTAATAACTACCAAAATCCCTTTATATTTACGATGAAATAGGCGTAAATAAAGAGCGTCAATAAGTGATGTATTTAAATTCATAATTAAAGTGTCGTAATAGCGTATAAATAATATCGGGACTCTCAAAACCTTGTAGAAATGTGTATAGTGCGGCTTTCAGAACTCCTCCAGACATCCGTCTCGTGACGTGGCGGGTACTATGGTTACGAGGAAAGGTCACTTCGAATAGGGGTGTTGGGTGAATAGTTCAGTCTTAATCTTAGCGTAGGTCGTCATGAGTAAACCAATCGACACCTTCTTTCCTCCCCCATTAGAAATGTGCTCTCGCTTGCTACCATAGCAGCAGACAGCCCCAGACTTTCAGTCTGGAGGAGTTCTCCTCAAACTATAGCAATAATTGCCAAAATAACGAATGAAAAATAATTTGATTTGCGATAAAATCGGCACAATTAAACTACGTCAAAAAATGGTTACCTAAATTTGCTATCCTTTACTCGCCATCGTGCTAAAATATCGAAAGTTTAAAAACCACGCGTAGCAATAACTGCCGAAAAAAGGATAAAAAGTCATTCAAATTTATTATGAAGTTAGCGCCAACAAAGCGTTTCATAACTTTCAAATATCGCGATTTCAGAAACCACGCGGAAATGGGTGGCAATAACTACCGAAAAGTCATTGAATTTAAGATGAAATCGGGACACACGAAGAGCGTCAAAAGTGATAACTATCATTCTAGAGCCACTGAATTAGACAGGCCGATTCATCATCTATTTTTGCTCCAAAGAGCTAACATAAGCACAATACTAACATAACGTTAACTTGTGAACTTTTTTGCTCCAATATTGCTTGATAGGTCAGCTCTGATAGGAGCCTTATATCATTCGTATAGGAGCCTTATATCATTCGAAACTCGTGTATCGTAATAATGACGTATTAAAAATATTGGGATTTTCAAAACTATGCATAAATCCGTAGCGTTAACTATCGAAAAACTTCATTGATTGAGATTGGATGAGTCAAAAACTTAAATGCGTAAATTTAAAATTATTTTGCTCAGATTGCTACAGCGGGCCGCAGGTTGTGCACCCCTATACCATATGGTAAGATAAATGCTATATGAAGAGGAAAACCATGAAAATCTCTCATGGTTAGCTTGATGACAAGAGAATTCTAACCTATGACTCATTTACCGCTGAGAATACTTCAAATGAGGACTGTGGTCGGAGTTAGGCGCAGAATTCGTATGGACCAGCCATCGCTGGAATCATTGGGAGGTTAGCGCTCTATCCGGAGCCCCAACGGACCTCCAGTAAAGGTTTGCTTGAAGCTATTTAAAATTTTTTAACAAAGACTTACTTTTTTTGGTGGCAATTACTTTGAAAGTAGAATAAGTCTATTTGGAGTTAAAAAGTAGTTAATTTTTCTATGATTTTAATAATCATTTTCTAATTTTGATGTTTCATCGACTTATTTTAAAACATCGCCTTAATTATTTACCCTTAGCCAATATTTTTTAAATTCATTCACAGCATTACTCCTTAAACACCTTGACAATGAAAAAAATAAAAAAGCATTTTCGATTAAAAAAAAAAAAAGGCTAACTTTTTGGTACACAAAACTCCGTCCACAAAGGGAATAAGAAATTAAAATATTGCACAGACAAACACCCTCTAAAATGGGTTACAATAAATAGATACTATTTGTTTTGCATGCAATAAAATATTGTTCACATTCTCTAATGTGAGCAATTTGCACAATACCAACATGGGTTTACAGATATACAATTGGTAATAGTTTTAGTAGTTCTTGCACTTATGAAAAAAGAAATATTTTTTAATAAACTCAGATTTTTTTTTATAAGTTACACAAAAATTTATTTTTTGATTTTTTTAAAAGGGTAGAAAATAGTCAATATATGGAAAATCATTAAGTAGTAGCAAAATACAATGATTCTCCAGTGAAATACAGTAGAGTATGATATAGTTATGAGGGGGAGTACAGAGATAAGAGCAGCTTTCAATACATTTCTCCCACATCGAATGCTTTTATGCCATCAAATCAACGGTAATTGTCTCTAACAGATTAAAATCGTACTTGACGCGCTATAAAGACTTTGTCGATCATTATCTTATTTACTTTGTTTCATGGCATATAACATAATTTTTGAATTCGAAATTTCTTCAATTATTTAAAAAAAAAAATTTTTTTTGGAAAAATCACAAAAATTTCAGGACATTCATTGAAATGTTTAATAATTAAAGTCATTTAAGGACACTTTTTTTTTATAAGGACAACTTTCAGCTCTGTACATATTTTTTTTACAAATTTTTATAACTCATTCAAACCAAGTTTTAAATAAATATGATTTGTAAATTTTAAAAATTCATCTTAAAACTAAAATAAATAAGAAAACAATTATTTAAAGGAGTTAATATGAAGAAATTAACTTCCAGGTACTATGTTAAATTTAATTTACTTGCGTTAAAGCTTATCTTACTATATTTATTGCCTAACAATTGCATTGGTCATTATTAGTTTCTTCTGTTTAGTCCAGTTTCCTGGAAGAAATAGGTGATTTCTGTACAAAATAACGAAACTGGTTTTAGCATCACCTGTGAAAAGAAAATGTGGATTATACTCTAAGATATTTTCTACACAGTTTAATCTAACTGTTAGGCTCCAATTTTAACTTAATTTTTATTCTGTTCCACCAAAGAATAGGCAGTACATTTAAAATATTAAATATTGTTCCACTGAAAACAAGACTCAGTTTGTTTAATCAACAGTCTTTATTAGAAAATTCCTAACTTTGAACAAAACAAAAAAAATAAATTAAATTCTACAAGTTATTTTTAATATTTAAATAAAAAAAAATATTGTTTTTAAAAGTATTAAATATTGTTCTACACAAGACAAGACTCAATTTGTTTAATCAACAGCTTTTATTAATGAATTCCTTACTAAAATGAATAAATGAGAAAAAAAAAAATTTTAAAAATTGAATTCCACAAGTCACTTTCAAAATTTAAAAATATTGTTTTTAAAAGTTGTTCTAAAGAAAACAAGACTCAGTTTTTTGAATCAACAGCTTTTATTAATGAATTCCTAACTTAAATAAACAAATAATAATGAAAAAAAAATCGAATTTTACAAGTCACTTTCAAAATTTAAAAATATTGTTTTTAAAAGTATTAAATACTGTCCTACAGAAAACAAGACTCAGTTTGTTTAATCAACAGCTTTTATTAATGAATTCCTAACTTAAATGAACAAATAAAAAAAAAAATATTGAATTCTATAAGTCAATTTCAAAATTTAAAAATAAATATTAGTTTATGTACTATACAACAGCTTTAACTAATTCTTCATGCACTTCAACAGCAATTTGAGCTTCAGTTTTAGCATCCTCTGAAGAAGCAGAACTTAATTGCTGCTGAGCTTTAGAAAGACCTTCACGGCAAGCCTGGAAGAGAAAAATGAAACTGATTTAGATTAACTAAATCAACAATAGATTAACTAAAGAGCTCAGTGGAAGAAAATGTTTTAAGTGATAGGAAAATATGACAAACATGGCAGTAGATTAAAGACGTTTACGCTTTGTAAACAGCTTCCCAGCATGCCTGATTTCAGGCACAGGGCAAATTCCCCGATATGGAACTCAAAATTGGTATCCTTAATTCTACACGCATTCCAATCAGAAAACTGCGGCACAAAGTATTATTTCTCTCATATAATTCTAGATTCATGTGTGTTTTGATATATATATATTCTTAGGGGTTACCTCCATAGACTTCAAAATTTTATTGTAATTTTCATGGTGTGGATATGCCATACCATTTGCGTTGGTGTCATAAAAACCGGATCAAAGAATAAAATTTAGCATAAATAGAAATGACCCTTACTGATATAATTAAGTGTAAAAACAAATTTACCAATTATGTTTTTAAGTTTGCATTTAATTTTATATCATAAAAATTAGTTTGCTTTAAAAAATGAGAAGAGGTTTATGTGTTTGAGATGCTCAGTCCTTTTCTAAAATTACTTTTTTTCTAATTTAACTTTCAATTCTAAAAATAAATCATTGGTTACATTGTCTTTAGTGCTTAAATATATATAATATAATTATATTACAAATGTAATTATAGTAGTAATAATGCATCTTATAGCATATAACTATAGTAATATGGCATATAATGCAAGCATTGTGCATGATTTAGTATTTAATAAAATGTTCCCAATGTCAAAAAAGAAACTTGCACCAGGTTTTTGACAGTTTATGATGCATCGTGTCAAAAACCAGTTTCTGACGCCAAAAGCCAAAACCCTGAATTTCTTTTATCTGCCTTTTTTCAAACTTTTAAATTTCTGTTCGAAGCCTATAGCGCTTATCTTTTCAGCCATCTCCACATCCAGTAAACCGTGGAGTCTAAGCAAAAATAAAATCAAGAAGAACATGAATACCACTTACTCTAACTTAACATAGTTTTTCAAAGCTCTTTTGCAAAGGAAAATAATAAAGCCACAGTTTAGTGCCCTACACTTAAAGCAAAGCTATAATTTTAAACTAAACATGACATCTTGTTGTAAAGAATTATCTGGGCTTTAGGACAGACAAATAACTTAAATATTCTAAAAATTATTAAATTTTTTTGAAAATCACCAATTTGGCAAAATTTTTCCACTAAAGGAAAATTTTTAAAATCAATGCCTTATTCTCATTTTTTGCAAATTTTTATGAGCCCAGATAAAGTAGCATTGGAATAAGTTTTTAAACACTAAGAATTAGAACACAAATACATTTTATTTTCTCAAAACTGGGGATTTTCTGCATATTGACGTTTATTTTCAGAATAAACACATAGAGGGTGCTGGCCAAAGATAGGCTAACTTGATCTAACAGCCATGAGTATCTGCTGCAAACTTACAGCAGTTATGATGAAAATAGCATATTATTTGCTGAAATAAAAATAAAAAAACCCCATCATTTCAGGCAACGGCACAGCCTAAAAAATCCATAGTCTTGTTTTATTTCTTTCGTTTAAAATATCACCTCTTAAAAAAAAAAAAAAAAAAAAAAAAAAAAAAAAAAAAAAAAAAAAAAANAAAAAAAAAAAAAAAAAAAAAAAGGAACACATTTTGTAAAAAGAAAAAAAAAATATTAAAAGTGACTGGATAAAACTGCTACATTATTTAAATTTTAATTTGAATTAAAATCATATATAATTTAGCACATTTTCAGTGTTACTAATGCTCATTGGCAACAATGTATGGCTTTTTTCAAGCAAAAAGAAAAAGGGGCGATATGTGTTAGTCAACCCCTTGAGAGGGAGGGGGCGATGGGCCACAAAAGGTTGGACACCACCACTCTAAGGGCTCGCAATTCACTTTCTCTCATGTCTCTGAAATTCATAATCATTCACCAGTAATGTCTCGGGTGATTACTGCTTTTGTATGCACTTTCATCTGAATTGTGGTGCATGCACAAACCGCTATTATCTTGGGATAATCATTAAGAATCAGGGTTTTTGATCCACAAACAGACCCAAAAAACCACGGGTGTTTTTATTTTATTTTAAAAAACCAAACTAAAAAAAATCTAATAAAACCAGGGCTCAAATGGGCTTTATATAAACATAATCAAAATAGATTAATAAAGAATGAGAAAAAAGAGAAATAGATTTAAGAGATTTCATATTTATCTTAAATATATCGATTCTGGAATTCTCAAATCAAAAATAACTATAAATACATAGTTTAAAAGGTAATTCCTAAAACTACTAAGAAAATTGTTAAATAAGCAGTAATTCTGTAGTTAGTTGGCTTGCAAGACTTTATAACTAAAAAATGAAGCTATATTTTATGAATGTTTGATAATAAATAAATAAATAAAACAGAAAACAGCATATTTATCTGATCCAAATATTACGAGTATTACTCTAGGAAAGAATAAATTAAAGACTCTTTTATTAACACCAGCATGAAAACAGGGTGCGTAGCTAAATCTTTGAATCAAAAATAAGCACTTTTTAAAAACTTTTCAAGCACTTTACAAAAATTTTCAAGCACTCAAAAAATTCATATTGAATCAATGATATTATTGAAAAACAAAAACTTTTTATGAACAGTTTTAGCATTAAAAAAAAAACTCAAAAGGAAACGGACGTAAATCGAAACAATCAGTACTTTCCCACATCACCGAGTAAATTCAACTTGACTCTGAACTCAGAACAAAAGTACCCTTACCCCCTATATCAAAAAAGTGTTAGAAGTAAAATAAAATAAACAAGNATAAATAAATACCTTATTTTAAATGTTATTATATTAGTTATTAACAATTTTTGACGATCGCACACTTGTTACAATTGTCCCCATTTACGGGGTCAATTGTAACAGTTCATAAATTCAACTAAAACATAGTTAATTATACATATTATCATAATTGTGATATACTTTTTATTGATCAACATGGTAGTGATATTTTAGGAGTAAAAATAATAATGAGCAGAGGCCTAAAGGGTTAAACTTTTACTTTAAGGGGTTAAATTTTTTTAATTCATGCTGTGAAAGGTGACAAATAAAATAATGCACATGCAACATAATATAAATGATATAGGAAACTATTGATGGTTCTTAAAGAGTTAAGTAATGGTTTGTAAACATAAGATTATTTATTTTCAGCTGTTACAATCGTCCCTTTACTTATTGTTACAATCGTCCCCAAGACGCCATTTCAGCTTCATTTGTTAAAAGCAATGCTAGTTAACTAACAAAACTAATCTTTTTTTTTTTTTTTGAAATGTTAATTAAGGTGTCCACTTACATGTTTGGTTTATAATTTTTATTTGTTTAAACAAAATTACTTTGTTACAATAAATTTTCCAATACCAGAAAAAGTACTTACGTAGCGTGAAAATATCTTTTGTGATGTGACTCTTTCAAAAATACATACAAATGGTTGCCAGCAGGTGTGTACATGTAGATTTATTGAATACACCTTGTGCGCCACCTAGGAACCAAATCTAGAGCCCGACACTCGAAATTTTTGTTCTGTTACAATCGTGCCCTGTTACAATTGACCCCACTCTCCCCTACTTTCCCACATCACCAAGTGAATTCAACTTGACTCTGAACAAAAGTACACTTACCCCCTACATCAAAAAAGTGTTAGAAGTAAAATAAAATGAACAAGAATAAAATTATATATTAAAAAGAAAAAGATTTAATAAGGATCTGACTCTATCCGTACGTGGGTACGACGTTAAGTCCGTGTGAATGATTACATAGCAAACACCCCATTTTTCGTGAAATGCAGGGGATCCGCCAGATATCACTGAAGGAAGAAAAAAAAATATTCAAGAAAAAAAAAGCACTTTTTAAAAACGCCAGCTGAAAGAAGCACCTTTAAAAGCTTTTAAAAACGAAATCTCCCAAAAAGCACCTTTAAGTACTTTTTACAAACGCTACGCACCTTGGAAAAGATGGTACTACATTAAAACTAAAACTTTTTATTTTCAATCATAATTTTATTATTTTTACATAAAAGTTTTCTTTTATTATAATTGTTCTCTTTTGAGTTAAAAATTAAATCTAAAAAGTGTTAAACAAGGTAATAACCTAAAAAAAAAATCAATAATAAAAAATTAGTAGATAACAAAATGCAACCAAAAAGTTTCTTTTTTCTATTCCTTAATTTGGTATCAAGACAAAATGCATAAAAAAAAAACTTACTTGTGCGTCTAATCTTTCAAGAGGTACCGCTTCCTGAGCCAAAACTTGAACAGAAGAATCCTCATTTATGGTAACAGAACCACTGCTTACTGTTAAAAGCATATAACCAATTAATACACCAATATTATAGCCAAATAAATGTGATCTAATGATCAGGTGCGTGGTAGGAGCAAAGGTTTCAATTTAATATATTCACTGGCCTTTTAATTAAAGTAGTACAAGTTTAAATAAAATTATACTAAACTCAGTGGCGCGACAGCCCATAGAAGACCTACTATGCCCATCACAGTTTTCCTGACCTTGGGCTTCAGGATGCAGGAGCAGATGTTCCGGTTAGGTGGTCAGCCGAACACTTAAGTACAATTGCCCCGCTGTTTTGATTACTAGAGAATTATTATATTAACTTTGAAGCGATGCACATAATCTTCACTAGTGTTTCAGGTTTAAGTTCAATTGCCAAGCATAAATTTGTCTGGAATCCACTACAATGATGTTCTTTTAAGGTCAAATAATTGCCCCGATATTTTTTCAATCAACCTACATGGCCAGAATATTAAAATTAACTAGTAAGTGATGAGCAGAATTGTAGCACATCAGGTGCAAGACTATTATTTCGCATAGGCAGAGATATTAACATTAGGCGTTTCGTTTTTAAAAGAGATTGGGAATGTTGACTCCGCTGTCTTAAATATATTTGTTGTACATGAAAAGTTTTTAATATAGTTGTGGACTCAATTTTAAAATGAAATACTACATTCATTATTATTGTGCATCTTCTGAAACGATTGTTGATATAGGATAGGTTTGAAATGGGAATATGATGATACAGGGTTCCCACTCTTTTATCAAAGCAAAAATTAAGCACTTTTACTAAAAAAATTAAGGGCTTTTCTTCACGAAATTAAGGATCTTAAAAATGGCATAATGATTATTCATCATCAAATAAAACATCATAGATTAATAATAGTAGATTTAAAAAATGGAATAGCTTTTCTTTAACTCAGTAAATCAGATTCCTAATGCATCGCTTAAAATGAAAGTAATTATACTATTTTACAAATTGATTCCCAATCAGACGTTAAAATTTAAAGGAGAAAAATCCACTAATGGGAAATCCTCCAAAGTGAGAATAACAGTTCTTGTTTGTGCTAACATGAATGGCTCAGAAAAGTGAAAACTAACTGTCATAGGCAAATCTCAAAAACCAAGGTGCTTTAAAAATGTTAAAAAAACTGCCTGTAAACTACAAAGCTAATCAAAAACCATGGATGACCTCCCATTTTTTTGAAAAAGAACTTCGACAGTGGCACAGTGATTTATTAAAAGTAAATCGTAAAATTGCACAGCTCACCCCCATTTAAAAAGTCAGAGTGTATAAAGCTCGTATTTTTACCACCAAATACGACTTCTGTGTTGCAACTCATGGACCAGGATGTTATTCGCTTTCTGAAGTATCACTATAGGAGACAATTAGTTACGCGTATTTTAGATAACTGTGATAAAAACAACACGGACTCAGAATGCAACATCTCTCTTCTAGAAGCAATAGTTTTGCTAGAAAATCGTAGAGGCATGTAACATCAGCTACAATCCGCAACTGTTTCCGACATGCAGGTCTTTCAAAGGGTTTAGAAGAAAAAGATTCCAATGTGGAGGAAGAAGATGAAGAAAATTTACCCATCTATGGCTAAAAAAACATGGAATGGACATTTTCCCTAAGGACGTTATTGAGCAATTTGAATGATGCGATGATGAAGTATGCACTTCTGAAACTTCTACCAATTATGACATTGTCAATGAAATAAAACAAACGGATGAAAGTAGAGAAAATTTATTAGAAGAAAATGTTGAAGACGAAAATGAACTTTCAGCACCATCTATAGATGAAGTTAAATCAGCCATAAATGTCCTTAATATGTTTTTTTTCTACAGAAAATGTGGATCAAAAAATCTTGCATTCTTAGCACATTATAGATAAGAAAATTGATGAACTCTATTTAAAATCAAATTGTGTTCACTCAAAAATCACTAATTGTTTTCATAAAAAGTGAAATCCGTTTATTATCCGTTAATTAGTTAATAATTTTTTAAATAACTTATGTAAAATTGAAAACCCAATTTTCAATCATTCAACTGTCTTATGCAAAAAATATTCTTCAAAAAATTTGAATATAGTAAACCATCGATTATAGAGGACACTTTACTGAGTTTGCAGACGGTTCACTATAGCGGGGGACTGTATATAAACAAAACAGTAAACGTGAAAAAAGAAATCAAATATTTCACTCTTTTTAAAGCAAAAAGTGATGAAGGTAAAACAACGAAAATGACTTTCCTGATAAAAATTATACTTTGTGGAATATTCGTAATATCCCTAACATAAAAAAAATGGAGTCATTTCTAAAATTCAATTTCAGAAGAAAATATGACAAAATAAAAAAAATCCACTTCGCCTTGTGAAGATCACTAGATGCTGTTTAGCCATTCCTTATATTTTTCATCAAGTGTCCATGAATGATTAAAAACACACTTTCTTGGCATTTCTAACAATTTCACATTTGAATGAAGTATCAAAGCTACCATGAGTGCTATCAGAAGAATTGAATTTCTCGAATCCTATGGATGTAGAAGGTCTATGCAGGTCTTCAGCTGATAAAGGACCTAAGTACTAAGTCAAGACCTCTACCCACGTTCAGTATCAAACCCAGCTCTCCCCCCACTAAATTTTTTTCTTTCAGAATGATCCAGAAAGAAAGAATATTTCAATTAAAAAAATTTATAATAAAAAAAAAACAATAAGGAAAATTGTTCCAATCAACTAGTTATACTAGAAATTAAGGACTTTTAAGAACCTTGAATCAAAATTAAGTACTTTTAAGAGCCCTTAATTTTCAAAATAAAAACTAAGCAGTTTTTAAGGACTTTTAAGGACCGTGGGAACCCTGTGATAGAAATAGGATACATGTTTTATAAGTGAGTAACTTCAATTTGTACTTTAAACTTTCTTCATAATGTACATGTTTAGCGTTATTAAAAAAGTTTTATTTGCCTATATTGCTATATTTTTGTAAAATTTGCAGTAGTATTGTAACAAAATATGTTTACTGTTGCAAAATAGTTTCGTGTGTTTCTATATTTTCATGAAATTTGCAGCTAATAGGTAACGGAACTGTTGCCTGGGAGATAACATTTGATATTAATCTGACATTTCTGTTATTAATGAAATGCTGTTTTTGTGTTGTCAAAAAAGATTGCAACACAAGTGTACTTTGAATTAAATAGGATTGCAATTTGGCAATAAAAATGTGCCAAAAATGGTAGAAAAGAATGCCAAACTGAGAAAAATTTGCCAAACATCAGGTGCATACTGATAACAAATCAGTTCCAATTTTATTATACTTTTACAGGGGTTATTTATGGATAAATTTGGATCTATTAACAGATCTTCAAACAAATATTTTTCAAAAGAAAAAAAAAAAAATTATCTGTCACAATACTTTAGAAAACTCTTCTCAGTAGAAAAATAAACTTGTCGTTAATTCAAAATTAATATACATATGCACAAAATTTTTTCTTTGGGATATTTGGTTTTTGTATTAATAAAAAAAGGCTTTATTCTTATATATTTATTAAAAACAGAACTCTGACAGAAAGAGCTATAATCTACACAAATCATAAGTAAATTTTTCATAAAAAGGGGGCATATTTTCAAATTTACAAAATTATGAGAAGATTTTTCACCATTTCACAAAAACAAAACTTTTTACAAAAATCCTGGTATAAACGTGTTCCTTATTCACCCACTATGACATTGATACTTTGCATAAGAAAAACTTACATGCATTTCTTATTCTGATTATAATTATTAAAATTAATTAGTTAAACAGAAAAATAATAAATTTAAAATTTTACAGTACAAAAACAATAGGCAGAAATTTAAGAGTCTAAAAGTTTTAAATCTTTTGCCTTTTGAATTTATTTAAGAAAATTTTAAAACCAAAAAATTTTCAATATACATATATAGTTGCAAAGATTTATTTAAATAAAGATGCAAGCATTCAATGCAAAGTAAAAGTTGAAACAAATTATTTTCCTAAGCAAAAACTTATTTTGTTTATACTATACATTATTTTAAGATATAATAGCTAGGAAACTGTTAACAGTTCTCAAGGAATATCTTTTTATTTATTTTCATTTTTTTGAATATTGTTACAGCACAATACAGTATTAATTGTGGAAGATGGGAAATAGTATATGTAAGTGCTTATAATCGAATATGTGGTTAACAAAAGGAATATGAATGAAAACTGTTACAGTGAAACATGGGCTCTACTACCAAACAAAGTTTAAATTTATTGATTTTAAGAAAAAAGTAATGGTAAATGAAATTAAAAAATATTCTATTAATGTCATTGTAAATATTTGTTTCCCTAATTTCATTAGATTGAAATACTGAATAAAATTCTTTAAATTAAAAAAATTATATAATATTTACCAAAAAACTTCTTAGCACTACCATCATCTTCAAAAATTGTGACAACACCAGGCTTCAATACAGCTAAAGTTGGAACATGGTTTGGTAGGATACCAAAGCTACCACTATAAGAAGGTACATCTACTTGTTTAACACTAGCTTTATTGTAGTACACCTGGAATAATGAAACAGATGTACATTAAAACCAAAGAAAAGCATATATCTGAAAAATTAAGTATTTAAATAGGGTGTCTAAAAAAATGCAGTGGTCAACTTTTAGGGGAAGTAGAGAATGCTTGAAACCTGCATAGCAACACAAGTCTGTAAACATCAGGAGAAAGTGATAGTGGAAGTATAAGCAGGATGCAAAAGAGGGATTAATCAGTGTTCATTCCAGACATTAGAATAGTGCCCTGTTTTTATTTTCAACTATAAAAGGGCACTCTTTATAGTTCACGAATATTTCATAGCCTTAAGATAACCAAATTATAAGAGTTAGAAAAACAATGTGGAATGGGCAGAAAAAAATGTATAAATAACAGGCGAAAAAACTAAACGTCAATTACGATGGCATTACCAGGAATCAAACAAATCAATAAAGGATAACTAAATGATCATGAGCGGTGATGGCTCAGGGGATAGAGCGTTCGCCTTTCAATGAGTTGAACTGGGTTCGAATCCCAGCGAGGGCTGAGAGATACGAATTTCACATGCGACTTGCACCAACCACAGAGTTGAAATAAAATATCCTCAGTGGTAGACTAACTGATCATGGGTTAAAGTCCCCCTGCAGTCCGGCTGTTCGTGGTTATTCTCTATATGTAACGCAAATGAGTGATTAGTTCCATCAAATTTCTCCTAATACTTGATCCAGGAGTTCACTTATCTTCTGGATTGGGTGCAAAAATTACAAGGCTATGTACTAGAATATTAGTAGCCGTAAACCTTAAAAATTTGAGTTGGCTGCTCAACGACGGTTAATAAAATAAAACAAAATGATAACACATATAACAAAGGAAGTCGAATGTAATAAATTTTTTTACAATATAGGAAAAATATAAAAACCATGTGTAAAGGTCCAAAAAAAATCTCTTTAGTAATCTGAAAAGTTCATGCCTATACATGCATTATCTAGTATCATTGAAATTAAAAAATTGACACAAACTTTCCAGGCAACATGACATCAACTACAGAATCGTCATGAATTGAATGTATTAATAATGCTCAATTCTATCATAAAATGACAAGATTGTTACAAATTAAACACGTCAAAAAGTGATAACAAAAATTCTTCTAATTTTTACGTTTAATAATATTGGATTAAAAATATCCAATTTTGTAAAAACCAAATGAAAATGGTCCAAAAAATTATAAACAATTCCCGAAAATGATTATGTTATGATCAGGGTTTGTTGATTTAAATCACGATTTAAATCATGATTTAAATCAAATGATTTTTTTAAAAAAATCATTGATTTAAATCAATTAATTTTTTTTATATATATTGATTATAAAAGTTAAAAAACAGTGTTTTAAATTATTGATACTTTTATTATTTTCTTTTCTTAGTTTCAAAATTTATTTTAATTAAATTGTTGCATTAATTAATTTTAGTTAACAAAATTGTGTATGTTAAAAAATCTTTACCAAAAAATCTTTTAACAAAATTGTGTGTTAAATTCCAACACATTGAAAACTACATTTTTAAAAATCTTTTGATTCTTGAGATTGAAAGCACAGATTAAAGTAAGCATTTAATGCTGTCTTAATATAGACTTGCATAGCTGTAGAAAGTAATTATTAAACATGAATTTTTTCAAAAAATAATGTAAATATTGTTAATTAAAAGTCTACTCTTTGAAAACAAAAGCATGGAATTAAAATCTACATTATATTTTATTGGTGGAAAATGTATATTTCTGAAGCTTTTTTAAAAGCATATTAAAAAGAAAATACCTAATTTGCCAAAAATAGAAAGAAAAAAAAAGGCCAATAAATTCAGATATTTTTTTCCTGATATAGTGTCATTCTTCCCTTTCAAACTCTATTTGAAACAGTAGGGTTATTAACTGGTATTTTTGCTCATAATATGTTTACAGTATCTTTGACATCTGATTTTCTATAACGAAATTTTGTGGAAAAAAATTCCTATGAGTACATAGATTTTTTAAAAAAAAATATTTTTAGCTTAACGTATCTATTTTGATATAGAATTAAAAGTGAATATTTTAATATAAAAATATATAGATTAAATATTTATTTTTTGATGAATGACTACATTTATAAACACAATCTGTTACATTTATTTTGTCATTTTAAAAATCAAACGGAAAAAAAAGGAAATTTTAAATTAAGATTATGGTTTGCTAATTGAAACTCTGTTTGAATAGTTAAAGTACAGGGGTCTGTCCAAGTGAAATTTACTACCGTTTACCGGTACCTACACAACTTTAGGAAAAACGGTAGAACAATTCCACAAAATACTTTTTTCTCAACATTTTATTTTTGTGTCTCGTAAGAAAAGATAAATCCAAATTTTTAATTTTCAAAAATTATGTCTACATTTTCACAAAATAGTTATCTTTGAAAAACCTAGACAGACTACTAAAGTATTCTTTAAATTTTCTATTTGAACTAGTCCTTAAATTTCAATCATGCATTTGTTTCAAAATGGTTGCTATGCATTCAAAGCTANTTCCCTATTTACCAGTATTGTTCAGAACCTTTAAGAACAACAGAACACCATCCTTCAGAACCATGGAACCTCTTTCAGAACGCATTTCTCTGCAACCACGTGTTTACCGTAGGTAAGGTTTCTTCATGTAAGACGTTAAAAGTTTTTGCTCGTTAATGTAAGATGGACAAATACCTTGTAAAGCCAATATCTTCTACTCCGAAACGGACAAATGAAAATGAAACAAATGTGGGTAGAAGCGATCAAAACGAAACAAATACGCATTTGAGCAACCTAATGAGAATAGCTGATGAAAAAGTAGATGTAGAACATTTTCCATAGGATGATGCAGCAAAAATATTCAATGCTTTAAAAATTAGAAGATGTTAAAAATGCATCATAATTAAAGAAATTTTATTTTTTTTCAAGTCTCTTTACGTGTTTTTTTTTTTAATTTTTGAAATCTCACTTAACTTTTTGAAATCTCACCCTGTTTTTGAGAAAGGGTGAGAAATTCTCACCCATTTTTTTTCTGAGATGAAAACACTGGTTCTTGTTTATTTTATTTTACTTCTAAACACTTTTTTTGACGTAGGGGGTAAGGGTACTTTTGTTCTGAGTTCAGGGTCAAGTTGAATTCACTCGGTGATGTGGGAAAGTACTGATTGTTTCGATTTACGCCCGTTTCTTTTTTAACGCTAAAACTGTTTATAAAAAGTTGTTTGTTTTTCAATAATATCATTGATTGAATATGAATTTTTTGAGTGCTTGAAAATTTTTGTAAAGTGCTTGAAAAGTTTTTAAAAAGTGCTTATTTTTGATTCAAAGATTTGGCTATGCACCCTGTTATCTCTCAGAAAAACCTAGACGGACCCATAAAGTATTCTTTAAATTTTCTATTTGAACTAGTCCTTAAAATTCAATCATGCATTTGTTTCGAAATGGTTGTTATGCATTCAAAGCTATGTATTATAATATGAAAAATTATTTTAGTAAGTTAAAATATTGTTTTAAATATTGTTATAATAGTTTTAATATTAATTTAATTTTGATGAAGCATTTATAAAGTTTTTTTAATCATAAATTAAAGTTCTTACAGTGTATTTGAATAAAAATCAAAAAAATCTGATTTAAATCAAAAAAATCCGATTTAAATCAAAAAAATCTGCTTGTTTTGATTTTTTTTAAAAAAAATCAAAAAAATCACGAACCCTGGTTATGATGATAAATAATCTATGATAATTAGGATGAACACGTCATGATGAAATTGTTGTGATGCAAACATATAGTGGAAAATCAAATTCGACATCAAATAGTGGAAAATCAAATTCGAATTTCAAATGTCATAATAATATTGTATTAAACATACCAGAATGCGAAAATGATAAAACATTTTAAAATTTGCACTTGGTAATTAAGTGTTAAATATATCAGAATTTAAAAAACCACAGTGAAACACTCGAAAAAGAGATTGATTTTGGGTGAGCAATGATTTGAAAAACCATACGTCAGCATAAATAAGTTTTATAATATATTAGGGTGCCTAATTATGTTCATAGGGCATGCAGAGATTTTTCGTTGAAAGGGTAAACAAGAAGGCCTTCTCTGCAAACTCTTTCCAGAATGAACCCTGAATTAATTAGAAACATTTTATGAAACCAATGGCATATAAAATTAAAGATGTTCACAAGGCTCAATGTTTACACTATGGGGATATTTCCATATTGGCGCCTGTTTGGGCCAACTTCTATTACAAAAGCGACTTAAAGTATTCATGATTACAAAAAATTTTGATATAATTTTACTTGAGTAGCTACAAATTATAATCTTCAAATTAATTTTCTCTAGATTGTTTTATTTATATTAAGTTTCTGGCACTTTTTGACAAAGTCAGAGACATAGAAATTTCCATAACACAAAGTATGCTTCACACTTGAAATTTTTTTAAAATTGAGTACATGATGAGAGATATAAGTATTTTTTAATATGATCATAGTTTTGATATGGGATGCAAATAATCTAAAACGAGCATAAGGCTTATTGCCAATAAAATGTCATTACATTTATAACAGAACAACAGATAATTTTACATTCTGTTTTGGAAGTTTAATATCCATATAATTAAGATACAGTATAATTGTTATAATAATTTTTATAATATGAATTTCAAAATAAAAAAAGTGTGACGATTAATTTAAGTGAAAGAGTAGAGTATCATTTCAATTTTCTTTTTATAAAATTAGACATATAGAGAAATTCAATCCATGTATAAAACAAAAACCAATAAAGTTGTTTATTTTTCCGGTGATAACATACTTCAGAAGGAGATGCAAAAGTAAAAGCCATTTCACTAGCGCTACGATGAGGGATTTTCGATTGCTGCATCAATCGCATAGATGAATAAAAGGTACGAGATACAAAAAGCTTAGAGGCCATGTCGAAATTTTAATTCTTTTAGTTTAAAAGAGGAGAGAATATTAATTATGATTACTACAACATCCAAAGCAGAAGGTCGAAAAATCAAACAGATATTATTGGGTTGAGTTGTTTAATACTGATTCAATGTCTTGCTCAAGTAAACCCAAAGCTAAATCTAAAGTTTAGTTTTCAAAGTATATTTTTATTTTGTAATGCTTTAAATATTTAATAGTAAGCAAAATATTCAGAAGAATTAAATATTAAACAGTTAAAAATTTATTGATTTTTCCATAGGGTTAAAGTTGTAGTGGTAGAAGGTCATCCGCCGCGTAATCAGATCCAGACAGCTACGGGGTTTTCAATAGTAAAATTAGGTTGCGAACTTCTTGAGTGTAATCGTAATGTTAAAAGTTATACGTTTTAAATAACGTAAAAATTAAAAAATACCCATTTTTAGGAACTGACATTTATGTTGAATAAACAGTATTCTTTATTAGAAATAAATATCTTTAAAATTTCGATTAATATTACGTTGTTCTATCATAAACGGTCATATAGAATGCTACTATGTAGATAGTCTAATTCTTTCTCTCTAAGGAAATGTTTTATGTTTTTACAATATCCTGTGTGATTCTTCGTAAAATTCTTACTAAGGAAAGGTAGGTTTCGTGATAAATAAAATAAAAATTTCTTAGTTATTATTCTTAATATTCACTGTGCCACGACTGAAAAACGACCTAATTCAGTTTCGTCGTATTTTTTACTGGAATTTTTAATATTTTCTTATGACATTATGTTTTATTTACTATATTTTATTGGTGTTGGTTTTTTGCAATATTTATTAACCCGTCTAATTTTCAATCTTATATCTGTAGCATAATTTATATTTTTCATTCCATGTAAAAAGAAAAACAAATTGTTACCTTCCTTCTATAAAGTTCGTATCTAGTTCAATCGTATATTTAACGTAATTTTTAGCTCTTGGATTTGTATGTATTATAGTTCACAGCTTATGATTGAAGGCTTTCCAAGTACCTGACGACAGACAAGCTTTATGAAAACTACTTTATTGAGGTCTTTAAAATATAAATTTGTAAAAGTTGTTAAAGTATCTGGCAGCCTTACATGAAATATTGATCTTCATTAAGTTATTCTGTACTGAAATATTTTTAATTCAAATTACTGTTTTCAGTATGTTTCGAGTTGGTCACTTAAAGTACCCGTTTTCTTTATTTTGCACCTTTTCTCCCTTTTTTTGACATATGTCTAGGTATGCTCAACCTTTTCCTGATAGCAAACCACAGAAACTAAAAAAAAATGCCGTGTTTGGGCTAACGTGAGTAATGTAAAATTATGAAATCTTTGAAAGTACGTATTTACAATGTAAATTGTTAAATATTTCGCTTATGTATAAGCACTGAATCATAGCCATAAATAAAACTAGTAAACGAGATTGTTACAGTAAAGCTGAGTTTTGAAACAATCGAATATAAACCATGCCCAGTAAAAATAATTGAGTTAAAGGTCGTGATTTCCGTAGCCTGGTTTGTGGCAGAATAATTGCCAAATCTTGGAAATTTCTGGGCAGGGGCCCCCTCGAGAAACTAAAAAAAAATGTGACTAAAAGGAACCAACTTAAAAGGTATAACACGTAGCCGCTCCCAGGCAAACATCTACATGTTTTTTTTAAAAAAAAAATTTGCAAGTTTAAAATCTAATTGGCACCTAGGCGATTGTAGTTGGCACGGCAGATCATAAAATGGAAATATCCCTGAAACTACTTCGTATATTTTCATTAATATTTGAAACTGTCCAATGGTTAGTTTTAGCCTGAGATTTCCTTATTATCAAAACAAGATAAATATTTAAAAGTAAATTAATAAAGCATTTCCCATTTAAATGTGTGACCGTAAGACCAGGTGCAGCAAATATTCTTGAATAATGTGTGACAGTAATTATGTGTTTACTAAATTTCTTTCCTTTGTAACTAAATTCATTCATTTACAATCAGGCGAGTATTAATTCAATGCAAGCTTAAAATCTGACAAGGTTGAATTTATTTTTCTAGTAGGCAGTGCTGTTTTTTAAATTATTTCAAAATGATGTATTATACCAATGTTGGATAAATTGACGTATCTAAAGAATTACTTTTAAAACTTAAAAGTTAAGGTATGTAATTCTCAAATAAAAATAGTGTGATTAGCAAGAAAGGAGATAAATTGTCATTTATAGAATTTTTAGAAATAAAGTATAGAACAGAAAACTAATAAAATGAATTATCCTTGATATGGAAAAAAAAAAATCATAAACAATTTTATGTGGTTCCTTAGTAATTTTTGTGTCAAGCGAAATATATTTTTAATAGACTGTAAAATATTTAATATGATCTCAGATGTTTAAATAAAAACGATTTTGAGTTAGCTTCCAATGAGTTTCAAATTATTACAAGGCTTTACCATTGACATCTACTGTTTAAACATGTAAAGAGTTTTGAGATTTGAAAACAATTGGTTATCCGTATCAAGGGTCTGTTTGGAAGAAATTTGGGTCCGTTAACGGACCCTTCGCAAAATATCTTTTCATAAAAACGGACCCTTCACAAAATATTTTATTATTGTTTTGTTAATAGAATAAACCTTTCTCAGAAAGGGGGGGGGGAGAAAGACAGATGTAAACGAACTAAATTTTGTCTTCGGCTGACGCTTCTTCCTTTATTCATCTGAAATAAATATTCTGCGTTTAGCAGTGTAGACTAAATACCAAATATTTATATGTTGCATCGCTAATTTAGTAGCTGCAATTGCTGTTTATTTTTTAAAATTAAATTTTTTTAATTATAATTTTACAGTGTTGAGCATAATCTTGTATGTCTTTACAATTTAAAAACTTGATTTTTTTTTTTTTTTTTGCAATAACTGACCCCTATTTGCTTTCCAAATATACTGACCCTATTTGCTTTCCAGCAATTCACAAAAGTGGACCCTGGTTAAAAGAATGTGACTTAACGTTTATTTATATTCTCAAATTAGGAGTAATTTGTTCACAATTTTATAAAAGTGGACCGTTCACAAAATGTCTAGACAGACCTCTGTGTTTGGATTGTTCTGTTGCTCTGTATAGAAGATTCCTCTATTGATTTGTGATGGTCAGAAATTCCTGTCATAAGTTCGACTAAATTTAAATTTACTGTTGGTCAAGTAGTGAAGGATTCTTGAGATTCCATGTTAAATTGGAAGGATTGCTGCGAACTTATATTTTTGGGAGGATATATTTCCATTTTGTCAAATGTAATTCCTATTTTCAGCAAATCATAAGTTGGCACCTTCAATTATTCTTACATATTATATAATAAAAGGATGTCAAAACTCAGTAGACTCTTAAAAACTTTTCTTGGTGAGAAAGCTATAAGTTATAAATAAAATTGTTGTCAACTTTTCCTATTTTATAAGTGTTAGCAAGAATTATACTTTATTATTTTTTTCTGTGTATAATATGCAATGTTCTTATTAAATGCATAGGATTGTCAAAATCTCCTGAAAAAACTTAAGAAATAGTTGCAGAAAAAAAGTTTTATTGTAAGATGAAATCACCACGAATAAAGTGTGTCAATGTAATTATTTAAATGCATAGTAAAATTCTTGTGTTTTAATAAAAATTGGAATTTTTAAAACCATGTGAAAAGGCATCACAAAATCTGCCCAAAAAATTATTTAAAAATAACTTGGGCTTGCTGTGAAAACTAAGCCAGTCAAAGAGTGATTACTTAAAAGTGCTATTTGAAACTCGCATGTTGTAGTAAAAATAAGAGATTTTCCAAAGTGGGTCTGTAACTGCCTTTAAAAGAAATGAAAAAGTAAATTTAATGGATGGTTCATAACTAGCGTGTCTTAATGAGTGTGTCAGGATTTTATTAACCACATGGAAGTTTGTAGTTATAAATTAAGAATGAAACGTTACTTGGATTTATGAATAAATCTGCAATAATAAGTTAGAAGTGATTACTAAAATTCAAAATTAATGCATCGAAATATCTTATTAAAAATAGCGAGTTCTTAAAAAAACCATGCTAAGTTTCATAGCAATAGCTGTTAAAAAAAAGTGGTCGAGATACAACTTAGATTTAAAATAGAATCTGCAAATTGAGCTCATGCGTCACAAAGTGAAAACTGAGCAATGTGCGATTCATAAATTTAATTTTTAAAAGAAAAAAGTTTTTTTTTTTTGTGGTCAGAAGCTTTTACACGCTACACGTCAAAAGTTGCAGGCTGCTGGTAGTTCACCCCTACCAGCTTAAATCTTTTCAGTTTGTATTTGGAAGGATCTTAAGTTTTCAAATTTCTTTTAGAGAGCTGCAATTTTTTCTGTACCATACTGATGTACCTCATGGCAGAATTGAGGCGACATGGCGATATTTTCGCTGAACAGTGCCGAGTTTTTGCAGAAAGGTTTTTCATTTGTGAAAGGAAAGTTTTTGGTTTTCCTTTCTGCACAATTTTTTGAAAAATATTTTTTTGTGAGATTCATTTCTTGCTTATCAGAGAAGAGGAAAGAAATAATCGTTTTTTTTTTTAATTCTCATTTTGGATTGGGGAAAAAAGTCTGTATTGACTGGCTTCAGCTAGAATTTCAAATTAATGTAAATTAAAAAAATTCAGAAATCGCGAAAGTTTTAAAGATAGTTTGCTTTAGAAATGAGGTTCTTTCTTTCATTTTTTTTTTCAGGATATTTTTCATTTTTTTTCCCTTCCTTATTTGAGTATCCTTTTTAAAGAGTCTCATTCACGTTCGTCGTTACTGCATGAATTTTACAATCTTTAATTTATGTACGAAATTTAATTTATTATCGTTTAATTTATTTACGAATTTTATTTTTTGTAATGATTTACAAAATTCAAATGAAATAGTTATTTTTCCAAATACAAAATGTGAGAAAGTGCCTATAATATTTGAATTAAAATAATAGTTTTAATATAAGATAATAATATTTTCAATATTCTTTTATTCGATATTTTTAATATAGGGTAAATATGTTTTATACTATTTTTTTCTTCTGTAAGCACGTTACCTTAAATGAGTAATTGTTATAATTAAAAGTATATTTAAAAAATATTAAAGCTAGGGAAGTTTGTCACAGAAAGCCTGAAAAAATTCTGCCACAGGGGCAATGTAATTTTGACTATAAAAAATTTCAACTACATATTAAAACACTTTGTAAATTTTCAAGTTAATTTTAATTTCATAAAATTTGATTTTAAATCAGTAATTAAGAAAATTAATTGTCCTTATTTATGTACAATCACTTGAGTTTTGATTTTAATCTATTGAATTTTAAACATTTTACATTCCAACGTGATTCATTCTGTTGTGTTATTGCAACATTCCTATAGGTTATGACTTAGTGTTTTTATATCATTTACTGTTCATAAAATGCCCATTTAACCTAGCTTTAGCACTCTTTTAATTTGGGAGTATCTTGTGTTTTTGTCTGGATTTTTCATTATTAAAAATTGCTAACTTTTAGATAGGATTGAATTTTTGACTTCTAAAACCTAAGTCGATAGTCTTTAGCCATGTAAAAGTTTTTATGATACCAGAGTTAGTAAAATGTTAATTTTTAAATACTTATACATAGTAGTAAAATATTTTATTACAAATGTAATCATTTATTTTATTTGAAAGCTTTTTCATCATAAGGAATATTGAAATATACGGTTTTTATGTGAAATCTTTACGTAGTGCTTCTTGTTATTTTAAATATTACATCTTGTGTGCTATTTATGAATAAATTTATGCTATTGCATGAGTATTTTATTTGAAAATACTAAAGGATGATTTTGCTCATAGTTAAAATTATCTAGAACTGAAATTGACAAAAAATAAAGTTGAATACTTACCTGTCCTTTTTTTTCCAGGTGAAACCAGATTAATTGGTGTTCAATTTTCCATCGAATATGGTAAATTTTTTTTTTAATTTTGTAATGTTTTGATGTAATTTAGTCTTTTTAACAAAATTCTAAAGTTTTTATTAATATTCAATTATATAATTTAAATTGTTTCTGTCCAAACCATTATATTGCTATGACACTTAAGTGGAAGATGATGCCACTGTGTTTTATCAAAGTCTATTTGATGTTGTGCACTGCTATCGTCTTGCACATTATGGCAGCTTTAGTAATAAAGTTTATTCTTACATTTTAACTTCAAAATATTCTCATTAATGAATGTTGAACTTTTTTAAAGGTTTTTCTTATAATAGAAAAGATCTCAAGCATAAGGAAAGATTCATAATGTATACTTAAAAATGTTACAGAGAAGTGCCTATTATTATAATAATTTTGAAAAAATGTTAAATGATAGCCTTAAATCTTGAAATGCTATTTACTGCTTTGAAGACATAATTTCAAAATTGTCTACGAAGGTTAACTGAAAATTTTCAGCTGGAAGATATCTTGTGAATTCTGAAAAAGATATATATGTTAATTAAAATGTGTGCATTTTTTCAGATAATCATAATTTTAATTTATGAAAACTTCTTGAGTACATGTGCAATTATGAATAAAATATAACTGAACATGTTTAATTTATAATAAATATTAATGGATAGTTAAAAAAAATATTAAGCATTTTATGTATATTTTCTTATATCCTTTGAGGGTTAGTCCAAATTATAATCAAGGCAATTAGATCCATCACAAAATCTAAACTTGTCCAAAAAAATCTTTATAAAATTAAAATTATTGTGATTTAATTTTAATTAATAAATTTTTATTAATTTTAATCAAATTATTGTGATTTATAATAAAATAGGACTTTTTTTCAAGCTTTATTATTGCTCATATTTATTCTGCGTAACTTTACCCGTAGTTGCATTTTTATGCATTAAAACAAACTGGAAAAGGTCCCTTGGTTATCACACAAATTTGAATTTCCCAAATATTGGTTGCTACTTTGGTTCCATAGAAGGGTGTCCTGCCACCCATTTGACGCCTGTAAGTGCACCCTCTTTGCCCTTTTTGTAAAAATTAGTCACCAACCACTATCCCTTAAAAACACTGCCTTTTTATTCGTATTTTATTTTTGAGAAAAATTAACTGTTAATATAATAATTACACACAAAAATTATCTGAGTTTATAGGTTTCATTCTGATTATTATTACAAATATTTACTTTTAGGATTATTCCCAACTGGTTAAATTTTTAAGTGATTTCAAAATTATTTTTTAAATAAGTACCTTTTTTTCTTTCTTTTTTTTAAAAAAATGCACCTCTAAATTTATTTTCTATTCATTATCTGTATAAATTGGAGAAAAAAAATATTTTAAGTTAATTAAGTTATATTAACAAATAATATACTTTTTAGTTTACTTTTTTTGAAGAAGAAAAAAAATGAATGCACAGAGATGGTCTCTTAGCATGCCTTTAATTATTTTTATAAAGTACAAATTTTTCTATTATTTTGATAATGAGTGAAAATTACTTTTTGAAATATACACATAAAATAGTATAAGACGGTGACTTAAAAATTGGATAACATTAAATTATTACGTGAAATTACACATTTTGGTCAATTTTTGCAGTGTTAGGCGAGTCCTCTTTATTCTTAGGAAGAACTCTGGGGCTCTACCGTAGCTTATTTTTACAAACATCTTAACTTATCAAGAAATTTCTTTTTTGCATTTTGAAGATTTTGAAAAGTGAATCAAGTATCTTATCTAGCCTATCCAGTGTCTTATTTCATTAATTTTAGGACTCGTGAATAGGGTGACGAAGAAAAAAATTTCTTTTATTGATTGGGGGGCAAATACTTCAGTTTCTAAAAAAGTATCAAAATTTTCTAAATTCTGATGCATGAAAATATCTGACCAAATTGCACTTTTTTTTAAAATTGGTTCTTAATAAATAAAGAGCTATTTCAATAATGCTTTCAAACAACTAAAAGGATAATCATCTAACTTGAGTGAATATTATTTATGTTTAGTATAATAATTCTTATAAATAGTAATTTTTATTGTTTTGTAATTAATATTTAGTACAAGAAAACTTTCTATAATTGCTGTAGCTTGTCTGATTTAAGGAGTAATTTTTGTTTGACTGTGTAGTACAAAAATGCTCAAATTTAAATTGAAAATCCTCTACAGTAATTAAGATTCTGTTGTACAGGGATGAGATTTTTCTGCTTTTTATTGGATTTCTGCCTTTTTCTCTTTTGTCTCTTGAATTTTAGGCTTTTTATCAAAAACTCCAACTATCTAAAAATGTGTTTTTTTTTTTTTTTTTTTTTTTTTTTTTTTTTTTTTTTTTTTTTTTNTTTTTTTTTTTAAATTAATATTCTGCTTTTTCTGAAAATTTAGCCATTGAAATAAAATAATTGTATTTATTTACGAATTTCAAAGATATATAGAAAATTCAAACTACGTAGCTGCCAACCTATCCGCATATCTACTTATTTTTATCTACTTTCTTTGCTTTTACGTGCAGGCAGTGAGATTTTCTTAATTTTTACCCTTACGCTAGATAGCTCGTATTTTCTTAATCCAGGCTTCTCTGCATTCTAATACCAAACATCGATGTTCGTATTTACCTGATTTGAAAGTTGCGTGTTGTGGTTCTTATTCACGCGATTTCAATATTGTACATTGCAATTCTTATTTATGAGGTTTAAAAATCCATTGTCGTTATTTGTATTTACGCGTTTTTAAAATCTATGTAGCTATCTGGCGTTGTGATTCGTTTTGCGATTATAATATCAAACACCGATTTTCGTATTCCTGTGATTTAGAAATAGTGCATCGGGATTCATATTTACACTATTAAAAATTATACGTCATGATTTGTACTTTTACATTTTGGGAATCCAACATAGAGTTTCATTTCCACATGATTTCAAAGTTCATTATCGTCATTCATATTCATGCGATTTTAAAATCTCAGATCGCTATTTGTATTCTCGTGATATTAAAATCCTTTATCGCAATTCTTCTAAGAAGTATGTTTTTTTCTTGAGCTAGTTACTATACAGGAGACAGTTTTTCTATCAACATTTTTTGTTTTATATGGCGACACATCAGCGAAACGGGATGATTTCTCTCGAAAGATTTACTCACGTTAAAATTCAGCTTGTTTGCCTTTTGGCCAATCTCATCCCTGGTTATAGTATGATTTTGTTTTCAATGGGCTTAATCTTCATTTTTATGATAACAGGAGAGCTTATGATATAAGTTGTAATATCCCTAAATGCAATGTGAATGTTTTTGAAGCAGATAATTTAATCCATTAATAGGTAGCTTATAACCAGATTTTTTTGATAATTTTGTGCTAAAAGTGCAAATTTATACAAAGCTAATAGTTATTTTTTTTTAAAGCTGCCTATTTTTACCATTTTAAAAAAAACCACTGTCAGGAGAAAAAATTTTGCTTATCTCCTGTATGGATGAACAAAATTCAGTCTTTATAAAGAATCTTTAAAATTTTACGTAATTGTAAGGTATGAATAACAAATTTAGTTACAATTTAATGTCTTAATTTTCACTCAAATGAAATTAAAAGGCTTTTAAAGCTCATTTGGTTAATAATAAATGATTTAATTTACAACAATTCCGAAGTTGAGGAATATATTGATGTATTTTATCTTCTCGTTTTGATGAAATACCTTTCAAGCTTTTTACAAGCCAGAGTACTCAGGTGCTGTTTTTTTCCTGCACCTCGGAATTTTCCCTGCCCCAGCACTTTCATTGTCTACAAAACATTTAAGAGTCCTGTCGCTTTTGTTACAGCGTTGCTTCTTAGCCAAGCTATTGTAAAAAGACTATTCATTAGATATAATTCATTAGATTCAGTTCTTTTCTTGAGAATGAACAAATAACTCAACTGTAAATTAAATATATTATTTATTTTTTGCGTGAACTGATGATTCTTTTCATAATAAAAATTTCAAATTGAAGTCTTAAAACTCTAAAGCACCAATAGATTCATAATAAAAAGTAGTAAATCAAATCTTTAATTGTAAGGAATTGCTATTTCAATAGAACAATTCATTAATTGTAGACATGATAAGGTAAGGGTTTGTTCACTAACTTAAATTAAGAAAGGTGCTTGTTTTTATACACATTTTTTAAAAGCTCTTTAAGGTGCTTTTTTTCTTTGGGGGTTTGTAAAAGTGCTTAATTTTCTCTCACCAGAATGAGATTTTTTTCTTTATTCTGTATTTTTTTCTGTCGACTATTCTCATAATTTACGAAAAGAGCACCATTTTGCAATTTTTCTTGAATATTATAAATTAGTTATTTTATCATGATTATGTAAAGTCATAGATGTTTGCTTCAAAATGTTTTTGAAGTTTTTTGATTTTATGTATATAATTGAAAAAAGAACTTTAAATAATAGAAAAAAATTTCATTATTGCTCAAATCTTAAATTTTTTTTAAAGAGGATTTGAAATATTTTTGGGAGAAGTATTTATTAAAAACTGCCTGAAAGGTTATGTTTTATGAAAAATTTGGCTTGGAGTAAAGATTTTTTAAAATATTTTTTTTAAACCAATATTCAAACAGTAGCAGATTATTTAAAAAAGATACTAAATATATAGAAATTTTTTAGCTCGTAATAGTAGGGATTTGTTACAGCTTCATATTTTGAAATTGGCATGGATGATAAAAATAAGTTCTGGCACATGCTTTTGTTATTAATGATTAATTTGTAGCTTTGAGCATTGAATTCTGCCATTTTTTTCTTTGGTTTAATTTAAATTCCTATTTTTATGTCCGTAAGTCCTAATATTGAGGAAGTTTAAGCTATAAAAAAAAAAAAGGGATCAATTTTTCCTGTTTTTGATATTCAGAATTATCACTCGCTAACAGAATTAAAAAGTCTCAATTTGTTTGTACTTATTAATTTTAAGTGCAATTCTATATTTTTTAATTGATAACTTTAGATTAATAATAGCAATTTAATTAGGTGTAGAACTAAGATACTACCAGACCAGATACCATTTCTACTGATTCATTAATGTCTCAGATTTTTTAAAAGAAAAAGGTTTATGAAGTAAATTTAAATAAAATTACAGAATGGGTAATGTCACAATTAAAATGAAATTATCTATTTTGTGACTGAAACAAAAATTAAAATCAACAGCACAATATCCCTTGGCATCTATTGCTGGTCTAGAAGATTATAATGCTAATTATATTTAGATGGCTAGATTCACAGTTTTGGACCACCATTAATTTCAAGTCTTGAATAAATTATTCTGTAACAGTTAAGAAAGCATATTGTCATCAAGTGACCTAATCTTTGGCTTTGGAACTGTTAATTTTTTTTTTTTTTTTTTAGTTCAATGAAAGAGAAAATATTTAAACATGTCAATGTTAATTGAAAAAACCAATCTCCTCAAGCAACAAATTTTTTTTTCTTCTTTCTCAGCAAAATTCCAATTTTATTGAAAATAACTGATTTGCTATTTTGGAACATAATGAAGAAATTATTAGGATTGATTAAAGCAGAATTGAAATGCATTTTTCAGTTAGTCTAGAGATTTTTAAGAAGTTAGTGCAGAATTTAATAAATAATCCCCATGAATGTATCCTATATATATTATCTGCAATGTAACTTTTCTTTCATTATTTAGTTAGAAAAAAGCCTTAACCTTGTTATAAATTTTAAAAAAATATTGTAGAAAAGGATCTTTTTTTTTCTAATAAGAATTTACTCAGATTTTTAAAAGTAACATGTGGTCAAAAACATAAGATGGGGCAAAAAGTTATTTTAAATACAAAAATAAAACAAATCATTTGATTGAAAAAAAGGTTCTGATTTCAACCTTGATTCTGATTTTATCCTTTTTCTTAAATTTCATTTCTTGTTAATTTAAAAAAAAATATATATATATATTTGTTTCTTGAATTTATATATATTTGTTTCTTGAATTTAGTTTTTAGTGAACAATAATAAGAAATTAATTGTAAATTTTGTTATTTTTAATTTTATTTATTTTTTTGCAAAATACAAGCTTTAAGTAACAAATAGGAAGTAAGAACTTTTAAAATCCTCTTTGAAAATTTTCTAATTCACTTAAATAATAATAAAAATCCCTTAATTTTTCAAATGATATATATTTCATTTCTCCTATTTCTAAATGAATTTAAACAAAAAAAATTTTTTTAATTTTTATTACAATAATGAGAGAAACATAAAATTTTCTTATTAGTTTTCGTTATTAAATTTAAAGAAATAATTGGTTTTAACATTTTTCACAACATTGAAAAAAATTTCTACAAATTATTGGATGATGTGTCAAAATTTATCACTTATTCACTGAGAAATTTCTAATGCAGTTGGCTCCTGTTTAGCCTCTCGGATTGGCAAAAAGGTTGATTATATATATAATAATTCAAAAATAATTGAATATTATAATGATGCACAAAGTTGTAACAGAATACAGGTACTGAATGGTTATGATTAGAAAGATTCAAAGTGCAGGCATTAGCATTCCTCCTTTTCCTTTGACTAGTTAGGGGAGATTTCCATGTTGTGACCTGTGGCCAAATAATTGCTAAGTCTTGTCAACTTCCGTGCAGCGACCCATGAGAAACTGATAAAAAGAAAGGGGCAAACCAAAGAGTATAACTCATAGCTACCCCGAGGCAGACCTAAATTTAAAAAAAAAAAAAAAAAATCCTATTTAATATCAATAAAGTGCCTTGGCGGTTGTTAGCGTGGCGAGTTAAGATACAGAAATTTCCCCACTAGTTATGTAAATGGAAGTTCCATGCAGAAAAAAGAAAAATTATTGTAGGATTTTAATTTTTGTATTGGAAACTCCTGGTGGATAGTTCATTGATAGCCCTCAAAATATATTTAGTATTGTACTTCATCATTTTTTTAAAATTTTTTTTTTTTTAGTTGATACAGTTAGTTCAATTTTATCACTTTAATTTGAGCTGTCTGAAAGGTGAAGGTATAAGTTCAACTGTAGATTTATATCAATTGCATGCCCTAAGCTTTTGATTTTCATTTATAATTTGCTTATGCCGTTATGTTTTTGTTTTCATTACTACTTTGCAATGCATGTTGTAACTAAAGTTATAGTGCTTATTTTTACCATGCATTGATACTTTGGAAAGCAAAAACTTCACTAACTTTTTATCAGTTTTTTAAACTTGTCTTGAAACTAAATGTGTGTTTTTCGTACTAGCACAAACTTGTACTGCAATTTAAAAAAAAAAAAAAAAAACCTGCATTGCTGAATTTGTTTTTTTCGTTCAATATCGTTTTTTAATATCCACTATACAACATCTTTTGTTATTGTATTTCCCTTACTAGTTCAATGGATGTTTGGTCAACATATTGAATCTATTAATTTAATATTTAAATCTTTAATAATTTTCAACTTAAGTGTATAGTAAAATTTTAGAATTAAAATTTTTCGTATTTTCAACTTATATGTTTGCATATTTGCTAAATATGTTTTTTTTCTTCTTTTCCTTAAAATCAAAAATATTATGAAGATTAAAGTCCCAATACAGGATTTGTAGTAGTTCGGAGTTTTTTGATGAATAATATTTTGTCTTTTTTGTCCTGATTTGACCTTTTGACCTGATTTAAAAAGATCTTTATTTTTTGCCTCTTGATCCTGATTTCTAAGGAGCATTCCATTTTCTAAGTAAAAATGTAGGTTTTAAAATAATTGTTTTGAAGAATCGAAGGATTTTGATTTTCCATTCAACCTCTTATGTTTAATTAATAATGCTTTTAAGAATCGCAAATTTATATAATTCAAACTTGGGGATTGCTCACTATTTGTATGCATGTTCAGTTCCCACAGCATTTGTTGTTTTAAACTTTTCGGGATTTCAGTCATTGAATATTTCACTGTTTAAAATTTTATGGTGATGAAATCAATGATTGCATTCATATTTATTATTTTAAAATTATTTAATTAAGGAATTCATAAACTCTGTTACAAATTAAGATATATTTTGGTATGAAGGACACTGTAAAATCTGTAAAGCACTGTATTGTAAAAATCTTTTTGGTATTATGTTCATTTCACAGTAAATTAAAAATTTAGTGCTACATTATTATACTGGAAACTGTTATAACTTTTTGTTCTAAATGGTAATTCTCAAATTAAAAATCGTTCATTTTATTATTCTTTAATGATAAACTTAGCCTTTTTAAAAGGAGTCTGGTATATACCTACTGTTTCAAAAAAATGTCCTGATTTTTTTTTTGATTTTTTTTTTTTTGGAAAATGTCTATTATTCCTTTAGCCCACCACAAAGTCTGTCATTGTAGCACTTTTTATTCTTTGTGAAAAAGAATGAAGTACCTGCTATTGCGCTTAATTACAATTATGTTAAAGTAAATTTTAGGAAGAGTAATTATATTTTTTAAATTTCTGCATTTTGTAAAGTAAAAAACTGTTCAAATTTTTCCTTTATCCTTTTGCAAGACAAATTTTAGTTTAGGAAAACCATCTGAATAAAAAGTAAGAACTATAACAATTTTGGTGAGTTATTGTCCAACATAAATGGGACATTCCTCTGAAAGGGTTAAGCTCCTATATTCTTGGTCACGAAAATGTGGTTGGTATAAATCTTCAAAGCTCGTTCAACTATAAAACACATTCTGAGCATTTAAATTATTTTTTTTGGTATTAAGTCTTATATAATGTAAAGATTATTTTGACGTCTCTTTAAGTTAGTGCTTTCAAATACATATTTTTTGACAAAGTCAAACAAATTTGTCCTTTTTATGCAGCAGTCTCTTGCATTTCAAGTCACTTGCACAACACCAAAAACATCAAACTTCTTAGTTTCCCATCTAAATTTTCTTTACTTCTTAATATTTTCTAATTAATAAACCTGGTTGAGTATTGTTCCAGCTTTTTTTCTCTAAATAAATGAGGTTTAAAAAAGAAAAGTTGCAATCGAAGAAATGTCTATCCATTAAGGATGAAATGTTTTTTTTTTTATTTAATGATAGACTCGATTTTTGAAGCTGGTGCGCCATGAAGATGGTAAATGGAAAGCTTTATCTACTGAAACTGATGAATTATCAGAGGAAATAGCAATTAAAGAGAAAACTTATGTAAGTATATGGGCAGTGGTAGCTGAATGAAAAAAACAATGCAGCCTGTTAATAATTAGTTGCTGCTGTCCTAACATTGTTTAATAAATGGGCCTCATTTGAGTGTATCTTGTTCCAACTCTGCCTTAGAGTAGCTTTCCTCCTTGCTGATGAAGTTTTTCTCTCAACTGCTGATGTTTTTGGTGTGGTCTATTCTAAATCTTGTGGCATGTTCAAGTTTGCACTTATTAAAAGTATCAATGCATGTTCATTCATGAAATTGCTTATTCTGCTTAAAAAATTGAAATCTTTAAACATATGTGGCATCATCCAATAATACAGCATAAAAATTACGCGTTATTTTTATTTTACATGTAAAGTTATACCTGAAAACTCGGATTGAAAAAATTTTTTGCGAAATATATTACAGCAAAAAATCACTTCTTGTCTATGTGTGAATTATTCTTTTCCAAGTTTAGCTTCCTACTAATGGCTAAGGATGCGTTCAATTTTGGAATTCTAGGGAGAGTGCAGTTAGTTACCTTTTAAAATATATTTGAAAAATAACTCCTCTCCTTAGTAAAATTATTTTCTCTCCAGGCTTGGAGCACAACCACTTCTACAGTGGGCAGTGCAATAACCTTTGATTCTGAAGAAAAGTTTTCTATTAAAAGAATTAGTTGGGTTGATTTGGATAGCTTATACCAGGTAAGCGTGTAAATTAAGCTGGAATATTTTTAAGTTTAGCCTCCAAAAGGAAATGGCACCACACATAACAAAATTTATAATTTTTTAAAAAAAAATTTTAGGCTTTATTGAATGTATTTTTAGTATACAGACTGGAGGAGAAACTAAGTGATGTTTTATTCACAGGACCATAAATCAAAAGATATAACTAGTCTGTATACATTCTGTTTTTACATATCAGGGGTCTGTCCAGACATTTTGTGAAAGGTCCGTTTTTCGTGAAATTGTGAAAAAATTACTCACATTCTTTCAACCAGGGTCCGTTTTTATGAATTTGTGCAAATAGGGTCCGTTATTGCAAAAAAAAAAACTTTTTCAAGGAGTTTTCAAATTGTAAAGACATACAAGATTATGCTCAACGCTATAAAATTATAATTAAAAAATTAAATTTAAAAAAATAAACAACAATTGCTGCTTCTAAATTAGAGATGCAACATACAAATATTTGGTATTTAGCCTATACTGCTGAACGCAGAATATTAATTTCGGACGAATAATGGAAGAATCGTCTGCCGAAGACAAAACTTAATTCGCTTACATCCATCTTTCTTGTTTTCTGCCCTGGAAAGGGTTTATTCGATTAACAAAATAATAATGAAGATAAATTTGTGAAGGGTCCGATTAAAAGTAAAACCATTTTGTGAAGGGTCCGTTTTTAAGTCAAAATATTTTGTGAAGGGTCCGTTTTTATGAAAAGATATTTTGTGAAGGGTACGTTAACGGACCCAAATTTCTTCTAAACAGAACCCTGCATATATTCTTTTTTTTTTTTTTCTCCAAAAGTTAAGTGAATTTAATTCAGAGGTTACTGAATTGAATATGAAATCTTACTTCAACATAATTGTGAAATCTTCAATTAAGTTGGAATAAGGTTTTTGTGATAACATACGAAACAAGCACAGCACCGTAACACAGGCCAAAATTTAAAAGTAAATAACCTAAACCATACCATTCCTTTTCATTAATTGTTAAACTACTAATAATTTTATGGTGGTTTGAGTCAGATTTCAGTAATCTCAGACCATGATTTTTTTTCTTCAATCCCTGGTACAAATATTAGCCCTGAACAATAAGTAGAGCTACAATACTTAGGAAAGATATGGCCTGCCAACTGAACCTCAAATAATATTTCAGATTTATTTATTTATTTATTTTAAAACTTTTTTTAAGAAACATTGTTTGATAACTAATTTTGTTACGCTTAGTGCCATTACCATGTTAGAATTATAATTATTGTTCTTTTTAATTGTAGTTCAGGACTTAATTATAGTCAGCAGACATTAATATCTGGTTAAGACAAGAAAAATATCGTATAAAATAACTTAAGTAATTTTATAGTATGTTAATCAGCTCTACTTCTGCCAAGATAACTAAATATTAATAAGTTATTATCATTACATTGCTGTCGATTCTTTTAGATTTAATTTTTATATCTATATTTAATTTTTATTTTTAAAACGGTAGCAAATTTACGACTTATATTATTTCTTGATATGATAAAAGTAATATTTAAAGGTCTTTGCTACCTTTATTTGAAAAGTGCGTGAAAACCTAAAATTATTTCTAATCTAAATAATATAAGTGTAAGGTTGTTGAAAGTTATAAATAGTAATAAAGCTTTTTCAATTTTTCCTTAATAAAAGTGTTAAAAAAACAGGTTACACAAGCCTCTAAAAAATGAACCAACACTTATTGTCTCTATAACAGCATTTATTTATCATATGAAAGTTACTCTCTTCCTTAAATAATAGTAAGATTTTTTTTTTTGCTATAAGTTTTTCCTTAATAACTCAACTGCAAAAAACGTAATGATGAGAGAAAAAAATTAGCTATCCTATGTATTGAATACAGAAATATTTGAGAAACAAAGCTGGCAATTGTCTCCTCCCCTGGACTGAGTTTTGACATCTGTCATGAATTGAGAGGAGGGAATATAGAAAAGTTATTCCAAAATTTTATTTTCAATATATTTTATAGTTTAGAAGTTAAAGAAGTTCTGATTTATGCGAAGTATAATTTGTAACTTCATATCTATTTGCAAGTTGAGCATCCAATACATATTTTAGTCTGGACAAATGTGATAATGCTGTTCGAAGTTTTTTTTTTTTTTTTTTAAGTTTACTTTTATAGCAGTATGATTCAGTGGCTCATGGGTGCATGAATAATGAAACCATATTTAATGACAAGCAAATTTAATAAACATAATAAAACGACATGATACGAAAAGAGGCTCGCCAATGAGCCATCCAGTTCAAACCTTTGCCTGTCACATAAGTGATTACAGCGCCCTCTTCTGGTCAGGCAGAAATTCTTAATGTAAGCTAAGGAAATAAAAATTAAGTTGATAGAACTAACAAGTTCAAACTTGTAAAATTTTTATGTGTAAAGCTCTCACGATTTCTTAACTATTCATTGCGTTAATTAGCTCACTGGTTTAAATAGCTATGTCGAGCAAAGAGATAGTAGAATAAAAAACATTATTTTTTTTGTAATAGAAAAAGCCCTGGTAACCCCCTAACTGTTATTCTTGTCAACTTGGGTTTGATATTTTTCGGTTCAGCATTTTATAAATTAAATGTAATCAGTATGTTTTTGCTTTACTAGCACTAATATAAGTTAAGTCGATCTTAGTATTTTTGCATTAAACCCAAATGAATTCCGAACTATAAGGTATATTGACTATTAGTTTCAGCATAAAAAGTACATTAGGAGCGATATCTTGCTTGTCTAGCTGAAAATTATACCTCCTTATGCATTCAAGATGGCAGCTAAAGCTCTCACTGGAAGAGAGGAAAACTTTAAAGATATTCATAATACGATATTTGCTTAGCTGTTGCTGCCACTTTAATAACTTGTAAACCTATAAAGTTTTGAGTTGAGTTTTTTATATCGATAGTTTTTTAATTTTCTAGATATATATTTTGCATTTTAATAAACTAATTAAAAGGTACTTAAATTATTTGTTATATCTTAACTGCAGGGTGTTCTAAATTAGATTGCTAATTTTCAAAAATTAGCAGCAGATTCATGTATAGCAGAGCCTGAATTATCCTTCCTAAGTTTAGTTTTAGTTCAAGCCGTTCCCTTCTACGGCTTTTTCGTTTTGCATAGCTGTAAGGAAACTTCTTGACAGTGAACAATAAAAATATCAATATAATTTTTGTATGAGCAAAAACCTTTGTTGATTTACAGTATTATGTTATTTGCCTAGTTCACTGAGAATTGTTTAGTCTCAAATTTTGCACTTAGCAGATTTCTCAGTTTTAAAGGGCAGCAATGCTTACATTTCATGATGAAATAACTGTACTAATATAAAAAACACTTAAAATTATTTAAATGAAGCTTAATTTAAAGTTTCGTTGAGAAGCAGGGCAAAAATAAATATGTGGGACCTGATTTTGTGCCTCGCTACTAGGATATTTATTCATACAGTGGCAAAATGCTAAGTTTTTCTTTGGTTTACTGATAGCTTCGTTCCCTGTTATATATATTTTTAACTGAAAATGTAACTGTAATGGTGAAAAATTATGTCCTGTTACATGAATTGGCAGGGATTCTTTTTTATTTTTTAAGTGAACTGTTTTCTTGTTTAATCCCGGTCTTATTCAGGATACCCTGTATAAAAATAAAGAACACTATCTACGAATTCATTGCTACGTATATTTACCCTTTTTTTTTTTTTTTTTTTTTTTTTTTTTTTATCCTTAAACTTTCCTCTTTCAAAATTAACTGATTAAATATATATAAAATAAATATAGCTTGTAGTTGTATCCATATAAGAATGCTTAAACGTTTGAATATGGCACTTAACATGCTACAGCTTGTAGTTCTAATTTACATGTAATATCAGAGAGATTACCTACGTAAGCAAGAGGTTAACTGCTAAGGTAATAAACTTTTTTCCTAGTGAATCATATTCTGATAACAGATTAGTAATTGATAACTAAAATCTTGTTTAATTCCAATTTAAACCTTACGACTCACTGTAGCTTGTCCAGTATAATTTATTAGCATGCACGTTCATACCAAGCTTTAAATGTTGCTCTGTATGATACACATCGTGACATGTTACCTACACCTGATTCTTTTAAGGTTAATTGCTAATGCTATTTTTAATTTTTTATCTTTAAATTTCAAACTTAGCAACCTATAAATTTTAATTTTTTATTTATTTGGCACTTGAGAGTCAAATCCTGCCTTACTGCAAAACAATCAACTTCTCATAACATAAAACATTTTAATAGTTATAATTCATCCATCTGACTCACTAGATGTTACTAGTATTCTCTCACGCTGAATGGCACTCCTGAGTTAACTATACTCGAAACATCACACACAATCCTGTAAAATACTTACTGCCTTTCACTTGCTCACTTTATTCCCTCAGTTTTCTGTATGGAAGATAGTATTGAAGTTATTCATAAAGCACATTACTGGCAGATTCAGTCCCCTGTTCATCACAAAACTCCGTACCCTTAGTCCTGGAGCTGTAGTAATGTAACTTCCTCTAATTTGTATAAAATGAAATGGCATGGCATCTAAAAAATACTTTAATGCTATTAAAATTGTACAGCTCAGTTATACTTTGGTAGTGAGGGAAATAAATTTTCCATCAGAATGTCAAGCAATAAAGATGGTTTGGTTCGGAAACATTACACAAATACTTGATAGCTGGGTTTGTGTAAGACATGCTTATGTTACTTTAAGGATAAAATTAATTTGAAAATCTTTCAATGTAGTATTTAGTTTCCTAGTTCCGAAGATTTATTAAAATTTTCAATGTAGCATTTTATCGATTGGATGGTGTCACAACTGTTATCTCAAATCTCTACTTGTACTTTTTTTGCATGAGTTTTGTCTGTGCTTGTTGCTTTAAAAATTCTTTAAAAGAAGTAGTTTTTCCTTCTGCTTTTCTTTGTTCCTGTCTGGTTAAAGCCCTAACCCAATATTTAGAATTCAAGTATTTAATGAATTTCATATGTATTTCTAGATTTAATTGTTTCATGTAATTAGTATAAAGATTAGGTTTTCCAACTTCTGAAATTATTAATTTTAAAAAGCCATTTGAAGGGCAGCAAATTTTCAAAACAGCCATATTTACTATGCATTTGGAATTTCCATCTCTGCTGTTTATTTGCTTTTCTTGAAATAACGCTATTTTGTTTTTAATTTTTTTTTTAAGAAATCAATTTTGTAAACTTTCTTACCCTCTTCACCATATTATATGCCATAAACTCAGTATTATTTTCAGGCTCCTATTGATCCGCAACAGCTGCTAAAAGCATTAGACGGTCATCTCTCTCCTTCTGGTGGAATTAATGGTGTCAAAGATGTGCCAAGATTAGCTAGGTAATAAGGCAGTCTATGTGTAATAGTTCTCTTTCTTTTCTCTTTACGTTATAGTCTATTTCTTTTACAGCTTTGGTGAATTGTGAAAGTATCTGCTGTGAAGCGGAGATTCCAGTTCAACTTAAAAGTTTCAATATTAATTAGTTTTTTCTTTCAGCTAGATTGCCGCCGAATTAGTTTATTTTCTAATTATTATATGTTTATTGTATTCATGTTTATCCTTTATTTTCATTTTGATAAGGTAATTACAGCTTTTTGGTGTTTTCGTTTAATTCTTCTCTTAGGCATAGTCTTTTTTAATCCTATTGTTATAAATAATCCCGGAGCTTAATTTTTGATTCGAAATAAAAAAAATCAAATTTTTAGTAATTAAGGAGCTAGGTTGAAATATTTAAAAGTTTACTAAAACATATCTAATACAATCTAAATTATGAAAGAGAGTATTATAATAAATACATTTCATGAGATATATAACAAAAGGATTAAAAATTAGTTGCTTTATTTCTTCTGTTATCCAATGTACTTGTGGAATTTTTGAAGAAAATAAAGTTTAAATCAGATATATTTGTGTGTTTATTTTAAACCAGGTTTACTAATGCAATGTAGTATGCATTGTTTATAACATACCGTTAGTTTTTCAATCCCTACATATACCTTATATATTAAGAGGACTCCATATTGTAAACTAAGCACTAACAAGAAATATTCTCAAGTTAACTGTGCATTTTTCTACACAGATTAATTTGATACTTTATAAAGGTGACTTAGTAATTTAATACCCAATGCACCTTTATCAAATCATGAAAAGGAATTGTACAGGTGCGTAGCATTTAAAGGTGCTTATTTTTTTATTTGTGTTTTCTAAAAGTCTTTAAGATCTTTTTTTTTTTTTTTTAAGTTCAGGGTTTGTATAAAGTGCTTAATTTTTCTATCTTTTAAAAAGAAATTTTTTCTTTGCCGTGTCGATTGTCGTTATAAATAGCATAATTTTCTCTGCAATGTTAATCAGAAACTAGTTATTTTTTCATTATGTTAAAGTCTACGAAAATGTTTTTGAATTTTATTGATTTTATGTTTATAAATTAACTTAAATAATAGAAAAAATAATTTTTTTTAATGCACAGATCCTAATTGTGAAATTTTTTTTCTTCTTGAAAAGTGATTATAACTTGTTTATGGAAAAAGAGCAAATCGTCTGAAGCATTGGTGGTGACTATGGTTACACGAGGTTTGACTATTTCATGTAGAGGTAACGTCATTAAATTGACTGGATGGCGAGAAAATGGAGTCTGGTGGAGGAAGAGCTCCCTTTTGATTTCCGTAGCAGGAGACGGCCTTAGACTCGGTCACGAAGGGAGTTCTTTTCCAAAGACAAACTAGTAAATTAACTTGGAAATATGTGGTTAGAAAACAAAATAAAAGAAAAAATTTTTCTTCCTTTAAATACTTGATTGCAAAACGGTGCTTTCTTTCGAACTTATACTACATGGAGTCCCCTTATTATAAAAACCACAACGCAAACATTTATACCTAACACCTTAAACAATCTCGGCATCGATTTATTACTGATCATTTACTGTAATTCAATCAAGAAAGTAAGTTTGCATTTTACAACTAGATAGATTTGGAGACATCGAAATTTACTTTTTCTTAAACCACGGAAATAACTGAATGGCATTTGGTTAATAGTATTTTGGTATCAATCAAGATGAGGGAATCTAGCATTTATCAGAAGTATTTTTAATAAGAAGAAAGTAATTCCTTCCGAGTGCAATAAGCTCAGACTCGCGATAAGGACTGCTTGGAAGCGGCATATAGAATTTCCTTTGTTGTTCTCCAAGCAAAGCTTTGACATTTAATAAAATAAATCATCAAAATTTAGCTATTACCTTGTATATTTAAAATTTAGGTAATTAAAAAAAATGCAGAGTTAAGTTTGGCATCGATGTAATAATGATTCGAAGTAAATTTGAAATAATTCTTATAAGTGTTTCAAGATTTTATCGGGGTGCATGTAAAATAATTAGGAACTAATTTTGTTAAAATAAATCATCTTGGTCAACGGATGAGCACGAACATATTTTGTTGGAAATGATAAATATGCAAGTAAAAAAATAATAGACCCATGTAAACCTGAATGACCACATAGAAATGGATTAATGTCTACTAATTGTATTTTATACTAAGATTTGCTTTACCGTCGCCTTCGGCGCTGTACCTCGCGGTATGTTAAATATGTTATATTAATATTTTGCTATTAAGTTTGGATTAAAATGTTTCCTCTATTGACTTTTTTCGGTCTCATTAATTTAATACCTCATTAACCATTTACGGTTCTAGGTTAATACACAATTTCGTTCAGAATTTTTGTTAGAACCAAGCTTATGTGCAGGATAAGGTAGAAAATTTTAATCTTCTGACGTATAACTGCAGAAGGGATTAATAGGGAATCTAGCGCATCGCTAGATTCGCTATTGAAATTTGTTAAAATCGTAAATACGTAGTTTAGAATCTGAAACCTATAATTTTACTAGTCTTAATTAATTATTCTAACTAAACCTGGGGCTCTTAATATTTTATGAAAGTTAGTAACAGCCTTCTAGACATTTGATAATTAGTGGGAACTGGTTTTTTAAATCGTTGCCGTCTTTCAATGTATAACACTGTGTGTGCACGCGTTTTATGTTATTGTGCATACTTATTTTGAGTAGACATATAATGCAATTTAATTTTCAAATTTTTCAGATAATTTTCAATTAAGCTGATCGGTTTTATGTTTTTGAACTTTTGTTTTCTGAGATAATACCAATTTCTTTCAGAATTTACTGAGAAGCACGATTTCCTACGGATAAGGTAATCCAGATCAATGTTTACCACATATATAGTTGTTTAGTCATCCTCCTAAATTCCTTTTGTTTCTTAAAAGCAAAATATTTAGGTTAATTTTCAATTAAGCTGATCGGTTTTATGTTTTTGAACTTTTGTTTTCTGAGATAATACCAATTTCTTTCAGAATTTTCTGAGAAGCACGATTTCCTACGGATAAGGTAATCCAGATCAATGTTCACATATATAGTTGTTTCTCCTAATATAATCGCGTATTTATTTGAATATTAAATTCCTTTTGTTTCTTAAAAACAAAATATCTAGGTTAAATTTTTAAATGTAGTGGAATTTATAAAATATTTATTTAAAACTTCTTTACTAGTCTAAAAATCTGCTTTACAGCATAAAAATTATGCTGATTTTATGAACTCTCCTTATGTAAAAAGATGTAAAATATTTATACTCTTAGCAGTATTTAAGAAATTTATTTAAGTTTTTCCTTTTACTTAAAACCTTTAGTTTACTTTTAAGCATTTTATTTCCTGTCAATTAGTAATAAGTTGGATTATGTAGTACCATAAATATCATAGTTTTGGTTCTTGAAAATTTATACAAGCGCCCCAGTAAGGTGGGTATTAGAATTTAAGACCCTAAAGAATCTATAGTTGTATGTTTTAATGCCTTTGTAGTTTTTTTAATGTTTCAGCTCGAAGAATTCCACCCATGTTCTGTTGCTCTTCTATAAAGAGAGAGAGTGATATTTCGATCAGACGTTTTCATCGTGAACTCCTCTTCGAATGTTTTCTTTCCCAATCCCAGAACTTCTTCAAAATTTTGCTTAATGGATGACAAGTGGTGGACTCCAATATTCTTGAAACTAAAAAAGGATTATGAAGATCAAGAAGTACAATTGATTTTATTAAGGTCAATAAAGGCACTTAGTTTTCAATTGCCTTGGCCTTATTTGTGGAATCAACAGAGGTTTGAGGTTTTCCCCACTTTTTTAAAAAAAATGAGGATTATCTGAAATTATCAATAAATGGGTAACTATATACATTACTAGGTAATTTAAATACTTTTATCTGAAAAAATGGTAAAATATAAGTTCTTTATGGAATAGAATACGAAATTCCAAGGTTAATTCGGACACTGCTAAAAATTACAGTAAAAATACTTTTCAAAGTTATTTGGAACTAATTTGTTTTAGTGGCTGTTTTGATAACGATCGGCTGCATATTTTGTTAATTACTTTTATTGTATTTCATTCAATTCAAATATTTGGTGAAGGTCAATTTTCCAAATGATCGTGAATCGAGCTTTAACTTATAACATTTGTATTTTAAAGACATCTCTTGAACGTGACCTGCTGTTTAAGAAGTTAATAAAATTACGATAAAAAAAAAAATTTACATCATATTTTTGTTTTTAAAAATGCTGTTTAGCTGACAAGTTCTTACTGTGTTGTTAATAAAAAAGCTGTTTAATTATTAACGCCCTTATTTTTTCGTAAAAAATTTATTAAAATTTAAATATGTAAGTTATAAGCTAAGTATTTAATACTGCCTTAAATTGGTAGTGATGCTTCTTAAATTTACAGCAGTTGAAAGTATAAATCTTATATAGAATATTTTAAAACTAAGATAATTTTCAGATTTAATCGTTTATTTAACACTACTGCACATATGGCCGCATTAAGTTAGTTACAATTTTTAAGCAGAAATTTAACAACAAGAAAAAGTGTTAGAATTTACTTGTTTCCCTAAGTTTTTCTCCGGTTGTGAATGACTTTTCAAAAGGTGAGGTCTCTCTTTCCAATATATCTCTCAATATTTTCATTAGCAATTGTCTATATTAGCAGAAACTAGTTAGCCAGATAAGATCTTTGTGACTACGAGTTGCCTTCCCTTAAAATTTGTCTTCTGTTCTCCTGAAAGTGTGGCCATAAAGCTCCGAGCCATCCCTGTGCCTTTGACAGTTACGATGTCTGTCGTCTAGAGAGAGATACCTGCAATGATACTTCTGCGATAAGTTTTCACATGCATAAAGCAGGTATTGGATCCCTGATTTTCTCAATATGCCGTAACTTAAAATTAACTCAATGCTAGAAACGTTCGTAAAAGAGAGAAGGATGCCATATGTAACCTTGAAGACAGCCAGCCTGCAACTGCTTAATA